CAAATGCCTATTATTAATTTTAAGTATTATTACCATTTTGTTTTCTTAATTTTTTTCATTTGTATACTCCTAGAGAACAATTAGCCCTAACTATAGCTCTGAAACTATATCTCCTATAAATAAAAATCTACTATGCTATTTAGTTCTATAAACATGCCAATTTTTTACAAATATATATATTTAGAATTAAGAATAAGGTGAAAAAAGAGAGATACAATGTGGAAAAAGGCCACATGTATTGTTTCTCAAGGCATCCTCCGATCCAAATGAATAAAGCTGTGAAGCCATACTGCGAGGCGGTATACGTCAAAACATTAGCTGGCTTCTGACAATTTAGAGAAAAAAATTAAAGGAAGAAAACAAAATACGTTATCCACAATGTCGGACAGCTGCTGATGCGTAAAATATTTTGGTCATTTTTAGAAAGAAAAACGATTTTGATTATCATTTAATAGCCACTGAATGCTGTGGTGTGTAATATTTGCAACGAATCTCAAATCTGCTTCAAATGATAGTTCAAAATCACCTTAGGAATTTAGTTATATTCTGTCTAATATCCATTGATGGTGTATCTATAGCTATAATTTATGTTTATTGTTTCTATTTTATGGCAAAAAAAACTAAATTAAATTATTTTATTTTTCCAAAAATTGGCATTTTAAAATAAAAAAATTATTGTAGAAATTAAAAAATAACATTGAAGTAAATGGTGAATTGTTGGAAACAAAGAAATGAGATCAACTATTTTTGTTTTGATTCACAGACAAAATAGTGGAAAAAATATCAAAAGTTTTTGAGACTTCATAATAATATTTGAATTAATTTCAAATTATACTGAAAAATGTTTTTTCACAATAGTATTCATTTTTTAAATTCTGAGTTTAAAAGGATCACTGAAAACAGAACAAAAAAATTCTTTGAATTTGTAATAAATTTGTATTGAAGTAATTTTAAATTAATTTATTTAAATTAATAATTAATTAATAATAATAAATTTATTTAAATAAATTTAAATTGAAGATAAAAATTAATTTTCAATGAGCCATATATATTTTTAAAAAGTTTCCCACCTTTGTATTTGTTAACAATTCACAATTTACTTCTGCAACAATTAGAACTTAGCATCTATCTCTCAAACTACAAATTGGCATATATAAAAAATAAGTTTAAAAAATTCTACATTAAACATAACATTAATTTCCATTTTTCTCATTTAAATTGAAATTTTATTTAAATTTAAAAATTAAAATATTAGTTTCAAACCTCTTGCATTGGCTCTTGTTTTAGTTAATTTCAAAATCTTTCAAAAATCTATCTGTAATATTGTTTTTTCCCTATTCATTCTATTATTCTATTGATCCTGTGTAAAACTAACCCCAAATCTTCTTAAAACCACTATTTCTATGCTATACTTTCTTCCTCCTCCTCCCCCTCCCCTACTTTTGCAAATAACCCAAGTAATAGTAAATGCGAGTATAGTCCATCACCATATCCCCGTCCTTATTGTAAATTTTCCCAAAGGAATTTTTCATAAAAATTTTTTCTTAACAAAATACTATACATATATACTTGAAATGATATCCCATCCCATAGTTTCCCTTTTCCGATTCTAGTATATATATTGATGAATAATTTTAATTCTTGTAAAAAAGATCCAATTTATCCCTATTAATATTTTATTTTGATACTGAAGTGGAATTTTAAAGTCAGCAGACATAACGTAATAAAATCGTCAATATCAAATTTTACAAAAAAAGGAAGAAAAAAAAAAAAAAAAACAAGTCACACAAGTAAAAAGCAGCTAAGTTCGGCTGGGACATGGGACATGGAAAATTTCCAAAAAAAAAACCGCTCAAAGGAAAATCATTATATGGGGGCTATACGATGACGTAGAGTTGCATAGGCAAAGTTTTGCCATTGGACCTAATACCCAAAACGAACTTTATATACGAAATTTGAAAAAATTTCGGACAAAAATGTCCCTAAAAGCATCAAAATACCGAATATCATGGGGTTCCGTTGTATGGGAGCTATACGATATCCTGGATCTATGTAGATTTTATTTATATTTATGTGGATTTTCAGACAACTCCATTGAAAATCTTGGCTACAATCATCAAAATACCTACAATATCGTGGGCCATCTTCGAACTTGACCTGCCTGCGGACAAAAGTCTGATCTGTGCAAAATTGTATCTTCCTACCTTAATTCCTTTTGACTCTAGCATTGATTACAGCTGACGGACAAGCCGACGGACGGACGGACAGGTCATAGAATTTTACGCTGATAAAGAATAAATATACTTTGTGACGAACTTAATATACCCTCCATAATATGTACAGCGGAGGGTATAATTAAGAGACCCAGTAAAAATATTTATTTTAACCAAGACTTGATGACCCTCTTATACATGCTTAAACGAAAGTACCGAATAATAAGACATACATACCAATTGTCTATATAACTATCACTTCCTTGTCGATAGAATACCTCAACATTGACCCCTTATAGAAGAAAGATCTACCTACCTATCCTCGACCAATAAACAGGTTTTTTGCGTAATTTGAATGATATTTTTTCTTCAGATTAGAGAATATTTAGCAAAAGTCCCTTGTACGTCGAAGACTTATAAAAGGATCTACTGTCTTCATAATGAAGACAGATAAGAATAACTTTACAGAAGCGAACAGACAAATTTTCTTTCAAGAGAAGAGCCCGATAGATATGCTTGCTATATATAGTCAAAAGTCGGGCTGGCCGACTATATGACTCCTTACACCACTATGCATATTTAGTAGAGCTCCCGTAACAAAAGAATTTATTTGAAGTAGATCGTACCACCTATTAACATTTGGCTTTGGAACAGTTTAAGTTTGGTTTCAGTGGGAATTGGATACGCCTTCTATCCAATTCTGTATCGATTTTCACTAAATTTGACGGAGATATTTTAATCTCTTATATAACATTGCTATAGAGTACATGATATCACTTAGAGAAGGATTATATTAAAAAATATATACATATATAGCTATATCTGAACCAATTTTCTCCAAATTTGATGTACTTGCATCTGGACTGAATTCGGTCGGACACACCATAATTTGGGTTATTAGGACTGATCTTGGCCATTTCGGTTGAAGATATATATGTGAGCTCTATCCAAACCTGATCCAATCTTGATAAAATTTAAAAGAGTTTTTTTTTCCGAGCTCTATAAGATATTCTGTATTTTATTCTGGGATTTAAAAACCAAATCGGATGAAACATATATATGAGAGTTATAGCTATATCTGAACCGATTCACCAAATTTGGTGTTCTTGCTTCTAGACTGAATTCGGTCGGATATGCCAAAATTCAACTGACATTGACCATTTGGCGCACAATTAACCCGAAATCGGTTGAAGATATATATGGGAGCTATATCCAAATCTGAACCGATATTGATAAAATTTGGCTTAAGTATTTATCTGGGATTTGGTACCAAATATCAGTGCTGTGGAGTGCATGTTACACATGTGAGGGACTCAAAACCCCAATCAAAACCACAATTAACCCCAAATCGGTTGAAAATATATGGGAACTAATCTGATCCGATTGTCACCAATTTCAATAGGGTTCGTCCTTGGGCCAAACAAATATTGTTTGCAAAATTTCATTTCAATCGGATAATAAATGCGTCCTGCATTTTGTGTACAAGAATACATAGACGGACGGACTGACATGCATACATCGACTCAGAAAGTGATTCTTTGAATATCCTCAGAGGGTCCGCTTCTTTCTCCCTGTTACAAAAAAAGCACACAGACATTATACTCTTACCACTATTTGGTGTAGGGCATTAAAACGACCAAAAAGAACCCTTTGTGTCTGGCAAAGTTAGTATAAACAAAAAATTTAAAAATTTCAAGGAATCTTGATCGAAGTATTTCAAAGAATGTTAGGGAGAACTGCGATCTTGGCCCTCTATTAGGTTACTCTACAATGTAAACTTTCGAAACAACGTCTCTTATATTTTTAGCTCTACTTTCACATTTTTTGTAATTAGTTTTTTTACGATTCACGGTGTTATTTGGAACTACTTGTGTTCTATACCGATTAAGCAGATCAGCCTGGAAAAGTACATATTTGAAGATATTTTGGTCACCAAACTTTTTATGGGGTTTACCGGCCTTTCACGTAATATTTAAATGTTGACTTTGAAATTCCACAATTTATTGTATTTATTTGAAATGTGGTTTAAAATAATTTAATTTTTGATTAATTTAAAACATTATTGTCATGAAGAATTGTTTAATTTCTGTATAAAATGAATATGTTTCACAAATTGGTGTTATGTAAAATTTTGTTTTATTTTTGTTGCAATTTTGAAAATTACCATTATTTTCATTTGCTTAAATTCTTATAATTTTGCTTTACAATATAATTTCATTTGAAAAATTAATATTTTTGCTCATTTTTCTCACCAAAAAAAAAAAGAAAAAACCAAACAAAAAAAACTCAATTCAATCTTGTATATCTTGTTCTATCTTTCTCTAAATTTTTCTTGTGTTATGCCTTAATTAGTCGAATAAAACTAGTGTATAATGAACTGCTGAATCGATTCTAAATTTACTTTTTACAAACATATCATTTATTTTTTTCTCTTAACAAAATTCTTTACAAAATTAAACTAACAGTAAATTTAATTAATTTTTGAGAAACAATTTCCTTTAATGAGTACAATTTCGAAAAAAATATCCCCTTGCCCCCCACCCAAAAAAAATATAACGCATTACCTGAAAAAAATAAACCAAAAACAAATTAATCAACAACAACAAATGAACACATTATCAAAACCATAAATCCGGCTAATTATTTGATTATTCTTGTTTCCTTCTCCTTTTGTTTTTTTCTTCCTCATTCTACATTCTCTGTATTCTATATTCCTGTTGTTGCTTTGCGTGTATGCGTAAATTTATGCGACATAAATGTGTGCGTATGACCAAAAATATTTTACAGTCGAACTCAATCAACGTTGGCTTCCTGCGTTTATTTCGTGCGGCGCGTCTTATCAAACTGCTACGCCAAGGCTACACGATACGTATTCTACTCTGGACATTTGTACAATCATTCAAAGCACTTCCATATGTCTGTCTGTTGATAGCCATGTTATTTTTTATCTATGCCATTATTGGTATGCAGGTAAGTTGAAGTTGAATTTTGTTAATTGTTATTAATTATTATTATTAATAATACTGATATAACATATAATATTATATAATGATAAATTGTTCATATTCTATGGTTTTAAATGTGGGATTTTCCATTGCAAAAAAAAATTGATTACTCAAACGCCTTTGGAAAGTCCCAACAATTTTTAAATGCTTTTTTAGTTTCAATTTCAATGTATTTTTATTTTATTAATATTTCAATTTAAATATTTTATTTTTTATTTTAATTTTTATTTAATATTTCTTTAGCCAATTGGGCCGTATTAGCCCAATGAAATAGTTATTTTTCAGGGACCCTTCTTCTTTGTTAGAGTTCAATCAGTCTAGAACAGTATTTAATTTTCGAAAAATTTATTTTGAATAGCAGTTTTAAATAGTTTATCAATTTAAAATTAGGGTTTCACAGTTTATAACAATAGTTAAAAAACATTCAATATTCGATAGGAAAAGTATATTATTTTATAACATTTAAATGATTAGCGTGAATAACAAGGGGATGATGTAGCTTTAAGAAATATAGAATGGAGAGTGTGCCTACCAAAATTTAAAAAAAAAACAATAAAGAATGGTCAACAGTTGGGCGGGATAAATCTATGATACCCTACACCTATTAAGTAGAACTACCATTCAATGTCCAAAAATACAACCATTTTGGGCTGACAATACATATTTGATGCACAATGTCCATTAAATCGGATGAAGTTACCCATGGAAGGTATATCCAAATCTGAATTGATATTGATGAAATTTGGCTAAGGTATTTGTGAGCAGTATCTGATATCTGGTACCGAATAGCATTGCTGTTAAGAGCATATTACGAATGTGAGGGACTTAAACACCCAACCGGAGGAAAAATTTCACTCCATTTGGGCTGATATTAACCATTTGGTACACAATAAACGTCAAATTGGATAAAGATATATATAGAAGCTGTATCCAAATCTAAACCGATCTCAGTAAAATTTGTCAGAAGTATTTCTGTACTGTATCTGGTACCAAACATCATAGTTGTGGAGAGCATATTATGAATGTGAGAGAATTAAACACCAATTGGAGGAAACATAAATGTGGAAGCTTCAGCGTAATCTGAATTGATTTTAACCATATTTAACATACTTACAAGGTGAGAAAAAACTGCAACAAAGAAAATCCCCATAATTTTTACATTTTTTTTAATTTTATTGAATTCAAGCAAAAAATGTCGGAAATAGCATCAAATTTTAGAATAAGTTAAGATTTTTTCGAATTGGTCACCTTTGGCCTTCATACGGCCAATGAAACCGTCACACGCTGCCGAATGTTGCTCTGCGGTATTAGCATCAAATTTTAGAATAAGTTAAGATTTTTTCGAATTGGTCACCTTTGGCCTTCAAACGGCCAATGAAACCTTCACACGCTGCCCGAATGTTGCTCTGCGGTATTTTAGGCCATTCCCGGCGCCTGCTTGAGGTGATCGACACTTTGGTATTTTTTAGTGCCAACCTTGCTTTCCAAAATACTCCAAACACAATATTCCCACCGATTGGTATCCTGAGATTTTTGTGGCCATTGTTCGCTGGAAACGAAAAGAAGAACCTCATTTTGTAACCATTCTTGGGTGGCGCGTGCTGAGTCCTGTTGGAATGTCCAAGGTCTGCGGCCAAAATGCTTGCGTGCCCAAGGATTTGATACACCCTCTAGAATAATTTCGCGATAATATTCGGCATTTATTCTGATGCCACGGTCGATTAATAAGAGCGGAGAGCGACCATCGGCTGTTATGGTTATCATCACCATGCACATGCATGAAGGTGCACATTTTCATCTGACCTTTTGAGTCTATTTTCATTCTGTTGCGGTGTAAGTTCTTGCACTTTTTGGAATTTAAATGGCTTTACCCCAATGGCTTTACTTCCGTCCACTTCCTTGATGTCGGGCTACGCTACCATTATCACGGTAACGAGCGATGGTACGAGATATAGACAGATATAGTTATTCAAAAATTTAACCATTTGAGGCGTAAGGATTTTTAGAATTTTAAGAGAACTGGAGGCTTAATTCGCATTTTATGATCGTTTTGGTAATTCAAAGTTGTGAATCTTTGTGGGGCAGGTACCAAAAGGAATGGACCGATATATACAATCTTCACAACAGATCTTGTGTTCATAGAAATATTGTGATGCGACGAGCTTGAAAGAAATCGGAGGTTTATTTCGCGTTTTACGAGCTTCATTGTTATTTAAAATGTTGACCCATTATAGGGGAGGTACCAGCAGCGGTGAACCGATATATCCCATCTTCACAGAAGGAGTGGGCCGGTATTATTTATGATCGACCTCGATCTAAGTTTGATAACAATTTTAGCATGTACCAAGTTTGGGCCAAATCGGATCTCCCTTCGAGAGTTATCAGTCAGACAGACAGACGGACGGACGAACGGACATCCCTGGATTGACTCCAAATCTCCTGATATGGATTTGGTCCAAAGAGATCTTTCGGTCTGCCGTCTTCAATCCTTGAATCAGTTCGCCATATTTTCCATGTTTTTGAGTAGCACAGTCTCAATTGCTGCAAATAGCTTTATTAGACCAAATTGAAGACAGTTGACAGTGAATCAAAACACAAAATGAGCATGAACTACATAAACCAGTTTTGCCAAAAAGAAAAAGCTAAAAAATTACTCTTCATTAAAATGTTATTGTAGCTGGATCGCCAGCACTCATTGTTAGAATATTACTTCTTTGTGTGTCGGCAAATAGCTCATGTTGTTGAATGATCATACAAAGTCGATATTTTTAGCCCGGGCAACACTGAAACACTCAACTTATTTTTCCACAAGTAGTTTTATGGAGAACTTGGATCAATATGGACACCGGTTTTAGGACACATTATGACATACAAATATCGACTTTAAAAGAAATCTGATAGAAAATGTGGCTGAAATCGTCAAAAAAACCGAATATCTGCAGGCTCCGTTTCGTGGGGCAATAGAAAAATGTTATGTTATATGGATAAAAATATGCCACAGGAGGTTAAACCCATTAAAAATACCAAAAATAGGGGCTATGGAAAACGTGGACCTATGCGGACAGCGTTCGCCGCTGGAACTAAAACCCATTACGAATTACAAATGCAAAATTTTAGACAATTCCGTTAGAATGTGTCAAAATACGGAATATTCGAAGGTACATTTTTATGGGTGCTGTAGTAAAACATGGACCGACACAGATTATATTCAGCATCCAAAAGTAAAATACATAACAAACTCTTAAAAAAAAATTCGGTTGATGCCAAATATCGGGAGTTACGGTTATATGGGCGCTATATGAAAACTTTGACATATGTAGACAATGCTTTGCCACCAGAGGTAGCACCCGTTACAAACTCTCAGTAAAATTTTTGGAATGATTTCATAGAAAAATGTGACTAAAATCATTCAAATGCAGAATATCCACAGGTACCGTTTCATGGGGCTATACGAAAACGTGGACCGACATAATGAGATATGTCAACATTCTATTCCAATCACAATACAAACTATAGTGCCAAATTTTTACTGTGCCAAAGCTCTACTGCGAAAAATGTGGACTGTATCCTGATTTGAACAAACAAACGGACATCATTAAATCCACTTCGAATTTTTATACTACTCATGACTATATATGCTTTATGGGGTCTACAACAAAAACTGAGATGTATTACAAACGGAGTGACAAATTTAATAAGATTTAATAATAAGAACATTTATTAATGGGTCTAAATTAAAAAGACACACTTCTATATTTGTATAATAATACCGACAATCTCAAATCTTCCCTTGTTATTCACAACATTAAAAAACATTTAGATAGGTACCACATATATATTAAAAACAGTATAAATATAAAAAATATTAGTAATTTCTTATTTTCTTCCTCTCTATTAAAAACAAACTATGAAAACAACAACCAAACAAATATTAATAACGAAACATATATATATTTATTATTTATATATGAAAAAATAACTTTACACAAAATCAAAACGTTTTGTATACGAATATCCCTTCAACGACATTCTACAAATGTAATGAAAACGTAATCGTAATACGAAAACCGATAACTTCAAATTCAAAAAGGTTTTCGGCAATATAAAATACGATCCGAGATCTGAGCTAAACCGGCACAATAATTTTCAATCGTTCTCCGGAGGGATCATGCTGCTTTTTCGGTAAAAACCATTGTTGATTTTGAACAAGTATTTGCAAAACAAAGTAATTATTTTTTTAAAAAGTATATTTCGTATTCAAAAAAAAAAACAAAAAACCTTAAACAAATATTTGAAAAATTAAAACATTCCCCAAAACAACAACAACAATTTTATTTCATGTTTTTATGTAGCCACCAAAACATACAAACTGTAGAACCAAACAAACAAACATTACTTTGAATTTGAATTACCAATTACGTCAAATGAAACGCAAATACACTGTCACCAACCACCCAGCCAATCAAAATACAGCCACATTCAATCACCACAACAACAGCAACCACAACGAATTAAAAATCGATCAATTTTGTATACTACTACAACATACTATTATAATCTATATACTATATATACAATGTATAATTAATTAAACTCTAACTTGTTTAAACAAAAAGTAACGTTACCTTAGATTTTTGTTGATCTACCCATAAACGAACGATAATATAATAACCAAATAATTGCTACCACTAATAATTAATAAAATTTATCGATAATTTATTTTTTGAGGGTTCCTTTGAAAAGTAGTTAGTGATTTGTGAATTGAATTGAACGAAACAAATAAATAATAACAATTAATTAATTAATACCTATGAAGTATTCCATATATTCGTATTTGTTGAATATTAAGAGTGTTGTTATTTATTTTCGTTATCATTTCCTTTGAATGCTTCTCTTATGAGTTCCGGTGGTTTGATTCTTATTTCCTTTGATTTGTGTGTATAAAAGTTCGAAAACTAGTTTATT